CGGAGCGGCGCGGCGCGGCCAGAGGCGCGGAGCGGCGCGGAGCCCGGAGGAGCCGCGGAGATGCTGAGCTCGCCCTGGGCGCGCTTCTACTCCAACAGCTGCTGCCTCTGCTGCCATGTCCGCACCGGCACCATCATCCTGGGCATCTGGTACCTGGTAAGCGCTCCCCGGCCGTCCCCCGGTGTGCGCGTCCCCGGCGTCCCACCCGCGGGTGTCTCCCCCCGGCCCGGCGGCTCGGCGCCGGCTGCAGGGGCAGCCTCAGCTGCTGCTCCGCGGAGGGGGATGCGCGCAGCAGCAGCTGAGGCTGCCTCTCGCAGCTCAGGCGTCTTTTGGAGATAACCCTCCGAGGAGTCATGTTATTATTAGCAGCGTAATGCTCGGCGAGCTCCGTCCGGCGCTTCCCCGCTGCTAAGGCGCGGGTTACCCCCGGTGAGGCGTTTAGACTCTGCCTAAATCGGGAAATGAAGCCTGCGTGTGTTTGGGGCCGGGGGAGTGGGGGCAGGGGATGCAGAGCACGGGCAGGCTCAGCAGGGGCTCAAGCAAAAAGGCGTTCGGCAGATGAAAAGGTGATGAGCGAGGATCCCTGGAGTGAGGGGTTTCCCCCCAAACTTCGCAGCGGTGTTTCTCAGGCCGGGGTTGACTGCAGCACCGAGGCCCCGCTGGCGCATTAGCTCCAGCGAGGCTGCCCGGACCCTGATCACATTGCGCAGAAAAATCTCGTTTTGTCATCTCTGGTCGCTGCCTCGTGAAGAAGCCGCGTGTTCTCGTCACTGCTGTTCCTTGTTTGCCAGATAACTGTTTGTCAGTAGTATCTTGGGCTGCCTGGCAGAGAGCTGAAAGCTTCCAGGCAGCTGCTCTCGGGTACTAGAAAGACTTTTTTCCTCCATCAGGGTTATAGGACATGAGTGAGGAATTGACCCTCGAGGCACAGCTTTAATGGGTTATCATCAGACCCAGACGTTGTTCAACACCCGGTTCTTCAGCCAGGGGAAAGACTCGGTGAGGAGGAGGCGCGTTAAGCCCTCGGTTCCTCTCCTGTCTTTGCCAATCTTTTCTCAATCCCTTGGGTAGCAATGCAGGAAAAGCAGCTTTCCCAGAGCCGGCCCTGCCATAGTCACAGGGTTTGCAAACATGTCACAAGAATAAAAAGAGCTGGTTCGTCACTTTGGGTTATGTAGATGCACTTCTCAGCCTGCTCAGTCTTCCCCATCCCTTGGTGTGAGAAATCAGTCTCCGTCTGATGCCAAGGCCAGGCAGAACTGTTTGCCAAGCATCATTTTTCAAATGACTGCAGACGGAAGCAGATTAGACCCAGGCTTATTTGCTAACTGCTGAAATTCCCTTCAGAAGCAAGTGAAAAATGCAGGGCTGGCCTCCATTGTAGGACAGCTCATTAAATAAATTCAATCAGCGTAATAAAAAGGCTAGGTTGACATTTATGTCCTAGAAATCATACAAAATTCTCTGGATCCTATAAAATACATATTTCACCTCTGAGAAAATGGCGCATTAGTTCAACTGTTTCTTGTTCCTGGTTTAATAAAATATAGTTAAATGCAATATCCACAGTCTGCGGTATCTGGAATACTGACAGTATTGAAAAAGATGCCCCTCTTTGCCTGGCTGCAATGAAGTTTCAATAAGTTTTCGTATGACCTGAAAGCTTTTGAACGTTTCTTCCAGGATGCTTATTTCTTTTTGCCTTTAGCTGAATGAAGCCTTTTCACATTGGCTGCACAAAGACAGAGATACAGATATTTTAGCTGTTCAGTGGACCTAAAGATATTTGAGGAAGAGGGAAGTAAGTGCATCAGCTGGCCTTAGCTACAAAGAAAAGCCTGACAGCTTTTTAGACTTCATTTCCTATTGTGTTACTAACATTTAAATACCAGTGCCCCAATTCCACATAGTATTTTTCTGAAAAATCTGTTTTCAAATTTTCTTTTCTAACTAGCAGGTATTTCCTGATTTACACCTCTTTGTACTTCTTTTGATTTCATAAATTTTTCAGGGCAGATTTCTGCATAACTTCAAACTGGCAATACGTCATAACATGTCAAAGTGCACATTTCTTTCTGTGCTTTTTCCTCTATTGCAAATATTTAGATTTTTAAGGTTAACTATTAAGAATAGAAATTTAGATGCATGTTGATAATAAACACTAAACCTTTTGCTAGCTTACAAAGTTAGGAAGCAATAAGTAAGGGAGGGGTAGCTTGTTGAGTAAATAGCTACCCTGGTTGAAAGCTCTGGTTTACGAAGTCATATACAAAAATACTGTTTTATCTCAGAAGAACAATTATGATTTGTTACCATGTGCTATTGATGGTTTACGTAAAAACAGATACTGTCCTGGTGGCAAACTTTTTCTCTGCATGCAGTTTGGGTGGTTGCATAGCTCACCACATGTGAGCTATGAGCATTACCTCAAATAAAGTTCAAACAAAAAACCCTTTGATTTTTCTCCACACCAACATGTATTCTGTAAACTGTTTGCCATTATGCTTTACAGGAAATTATTTGAAGGAAAAACATGCCCCTAGAGAATGAATAGTTTTCCTGTTGCTTCTTCGTATCTCGCTACCTGTGAAGTGTAAGTTTTATTAGTTCTGTGACTATGAATACAATGATTCAGTAGTAGAGGCTTCTGAAGGAGGGAAGCATAGTAGCTTAAAAAGTTTTGGCAGGCTTTTAAAATAACATTTTTGCATGTTCAACCGGTTTTGAATTAGTATAATTTCAGGAGGCAGAGTTTCATATCTGAGTAAATGTGGAAAAAAATAGTGCATTTCTCTGGGATGATGTTGCAGCTCTTTAGTTTTAATGTTTTAATCGGATGTTTGGGATGCTACAAAGAGTGGAGAGAGTGGGGAGCTGAGGGCACAGGGAGTCATGAGGGCTGCACGATGAGAGCACTTTCCATGTAGGTAAGGGGGAGGAACGCTGTGTGCATTTCCAACACATGCCCAGCAGCTGAGGACACTTACAGTGGTCTCATAAAGTATCAATAGCTGGGAAATAAATATTTAACTTTGCTCTATTTTAGAACATAATGGATCTCAGAATGCTAATGTTTCTACAGCTATTGTGTTTCACTAGTTTCTTCCTGGTAGAGCCATAGGCACTGCATCTAGAATAATATAACCTAATACAGCATTGCATGATGCTGCAATATAGCATACATAATAAAATATACATATGATCACAGAGCACTGAGGTACTTCAACGTAAAAAGTAACTTGTAATGGGTGGAGCAGCCAGAGGAAATTTCCTGAAAAGAATATCTAATCAGGTTGTGGAACAGCCTGCTCTTCAGGAACTAGTGTGCTGCCTTGGGGAGAAAAGCTTAAGAGGGGGTGCTGCAGTGCTGAATACAAACTTTATGCTGAAGATTACAATGGCAGCAATATGACTGGCTGGGTGCTAATATTTATTGCAAAACCTGAGGACCAGTTTGGTTCAGCTGGTTATTGATCTTTTATCCCACTGGCATGGACTTCACACTTTTCTGTATTATAACATGAAATCAGAGGTCACAAGTAATAACGCAGAGGCATTTGGGGGCACAAAAGTCTTACAAGTGTCACATTTTGGGAAAAAAAAAGAACAAAATAAGGAAAATGAGGAAGTCACTTCCAGCAGCTTAGTTTTGTTCCAGCAGTTGTATCAGCATGCTGTTCAAGGCAGTGACACTGCTGAAATGAGCCAGCTTCAGTTCTGATCTCCCCCAGGTGCCAGAGTCCAGGGGAAAGCCAGCATTTTTGTCAGTTCCAAGTGACCCAGTCGGTACCAGTGAGTCAGAATAACATCCCCATCGGTAACAGCATTTATAAACACAGCACGTCTTCTTCCTGAGTAAATGGACTCCACTTTCTTTATCTAAAATACAGAGAAGCAACAACGTCAGATGTGCTGACAGTGTCACGGAAGGATTTTCCACTCTCCCGGCACATGGCAGTGGGGTTTATGCGCACCCCGAGGCTCCAATGGCACCATCTGGGACAAAGGGAATTATTTCCCATTGACTTGGGAGGGGACAAGATGAAACTTTAAGGCATCAGTTCAGGAAAAAAAACCACAAACCAACACCCCCCCCCCCCCAAAAAAAAAACAAAACCAAAACCAAACAACAAAAAAACCCCCACATTAGAAGCAGGAGCTCTCGTTTTTGAGCTCGGTGTGGCCAGCGCCGCCTGCTACCCGCCTGGCTGCAGCAGTGTCCCGGCCACGGGCTGCTGCTCCCCGCCGCCCCCCGGGAGCCCCGGGAGCCCCGGGAGCCGCTGGCGGCCCCGGGGGCGCGGCGGGAGCTGTCCAGCCCCGGCGGAGCTGTCCGCGGCTCAGCCCCCCAGGGCCCCGGCAGAGAGGGGCGGAAATTAAGAACTAATGGAAGGCTGAGAAGCTTTTATAACGGCGGGTTATGGAGTTGTGTGGCTCCCTCGGAAGGACGCGCGGTAAGAAGGTGAATAGAGCGAGCCGAAGTTTTTAGCCCCGGTGGCTTCAGCGTTCGAGCTGCTCTTTGTGGAAAGCTCAGAGTGAATTGCTAGTTCGTGACATTTCGGTTCTGGATTTTTCTGGATATATAGTTGAAAGCGTGCATAATTTCTGCCTGCATCCCAGTCGTTTTTTAATAAAAGGATTGAGTCCTAATGGGTGAAAAAGTGGCCTCTTTATATTGTAAAGCAAAAGAACAGCACTGCTTGCTATGGCCTCATTGATTGACAGGTTGAACACCCTGCTGAGATCAGTAGAGTGCACTTGACCTGATGTCAAAAAGAGAATCAAGGTATATATTTTGCAACTGGGCCGCACTTATTTCCCTGTCTTTTTCAAGTCCCGTGCAAACAGTATGTATGGCAATGTGCTTAAATACCACTTAGAAGATTACTGAAATCTTGGCTTACTTGGCAGGGGGTTGAGATCAGCACTGGCTACTCATATAAACAAAATATACCTATGCCGGTGTCCTTCCAAGCTGCTCTGTCCTTACTCCTGCAACCTTTATGCTGTCTGAGAGTGCTCACATCAGCAAGGAGTTGTAAGCAGGGATCTCCTGAACAGGGTGGAAACACCCTTTCAGGGAAAATGAACCTGTGAGAATCAGGAGATTTTGAAAACTGAAAAAGATCTGACATTGTGAAAAGGGGCAAAGCGCACCA